CCAATCGTGTACGGCGTGCCAGTGGTGCACTTGACGGTCAGCACGCCGCCGGTCGCAGCGACGTTGGTGGCGGTGGATGCGACGGAACCGAAATCAACATCAGTCGGTGCAACGGTGTGGATGTCGCAGGTAGCCGTGACAGTGATCTTCACGGTCATGTTGGCGGTGTCGGTGGCGGCGCTGGCGGCACCGAAAGCGGCCAGGCAAGCGGCTGAAATCAGCGAAGCGCGAAAAGCTTTGTTCATAAGACCTGAAGACCTTTAAATGAGGACAAAAAACCGGTGGCGGGGCTTTCGGTGCTGGCCTGGATTCGACGCCTTTGGGGGTCGGTGATCCGGAAGTCTGGGGCCCGAAATTTGTGGAAGCGCTGCCTTTAAGGGCAGATAAGCCGCTGTTTGCCGCCTGCGAAGACCTATTGTATTTTTACAATTGGTTTCATGTTGCACCAAAATCGTGAACTTTTCGGCGCAAACCTGAGTTTTTAGGCCTTTTACAAGCTCAAAAGTTCCATACTTGTTTCGTAAAGTTACAACTTGTAAGCTTGGCGGTCAAAAAAAAGACGAAAAAACCGCCGCAACCCAACGTCAAGGGTAAAGCCTTTGTTTTCAGATTCTGCGAATTGCTGTCGTATTCATTTGACGCGTCAGCCGGGCGCCAGACAGGTTCCCCGAGCGTCGGCGCGCCAGTTCAGCGGCACATCTGCGTCACTTCGCCCGGCTGCGCCAGCGCGTCGGCGCCTGGTGCCGGGGGGGTGGCCGGCACGGGCAAGGCAGCCCCGGGGTTGAGCAGGTTGTGGATGCGGATGGCCAGCGCAAAACGCGGGTAAACCGAATCGCCCGCGCCGTTCGAGCCGTTGGCCAGCAGCACGACATCATCGCCACTGCCGAAGTGGGTGTTCACAGCAGCGAAATTCACGGTCTGCCCAGCTGCGCCGTAGCTGCCAGGCCCGCCCAGATACGCCACACCCATGCCAGCCGGTGCGGGCTTGCCATTGGCCTGCATGGCGGGCTTCTGGATCAGGGCCAAGGTTTGCGCCGGCAGCAGCTTGCCGCTGTAGAGCGCGCCGTTCCACCGCACCTGGTCAGACGCGGTGGACACCACGCCGCCAGCGGCATCAAAGCCGGCATTGAGGTCTGGGCACAGGCGCCAGCTGTCGGTGGTCTTGATGCGGTAATGCCCGGCTGCGGCGCCGGGCACATCGCGCCCGCCCGGGAGCGTGGAGGCGGCCATGCCCGCAGGCTTGAAGACCATGTCCTGCAGCACGGTCTGCAGCGGCTGCCCGGTGACGCGCTCGGCCACCATGCCCAGCAGCGTGAAGCCGGCATTTGAATAGTCGTACACCGCACCGGGGGGCGCAAACAGGCCGCGCGCGTTGAGCCGGGCGATGAAGTCGGCGCGCGGGGGCGGCGGGTTTACCAGAGACTGTTGTACCGTGCCGAACAGGTCCGAGTCCTCGGCATTGGCGCCGGGGATGCCGCTGACGTTTTGCATCACCTGCATCAGGGTGGGCGAAGGTTGCAGCGTCACCTCGGGCAGCCAGCGCGAGATCGGGTCCTGCAGCGACAGCTTTTTCTGCTCGCCCAGCATCAGCAGC